CGTCATTTGTGTATGCAATCAATTAATCATATCGTCAGGCCATTTTACACAAAGATGGCGCTGTTCCGCTGGTAGGAAGTGGGAATAATTCGCTATCAGTGCATATTCAGCTAAAACAAAGTGACGACCACCTAAAGTAATCAGAAATTGAGTATCTGACACTGCAAAGCATGTCTGATACCTCTATATATTTATTTAGATTAACACCCGAAATCCCTACCCTTTAACATATTCTGCACAAAATATAATTTCTGCTCCTCCCCATATATAAAAACGGGGAGAAATCCTGAGCAGAATTTGTAAAAAAGGAGGGACAGTGACATCTGAAGGACACTCACCGCAGAAGCATGGTAACATGATTAATTTGACAAGGCATTTGTGATCGGCATACACCTTCCGGTTGTATGAAACAGGTCCAAATCCGCCTGTAAATTTTTCGTTTTGGCATTATTTATGGCAAATTAGTGAACTTTTCAAGAACATTAACGCCAAATAACCCAACAACACTAGCGGACCGTGAGTGCTGTGTTCGGGAAAAATCCAGGAATTAACTTCTCGCCGCAAGTTGTCATCAGGGTTGCTTTCACCCACTTGCTATAAAAAATAGTTTTACGGAATTATTGATATGATGTACTTTTAAGTAACAAAAATAGGGTGTAAAGTATGTGTTTGACTCATAAAACCTGTCAATTTCACTTTCATAGCGACACAATAAACGATCTTATGATTCGTGAGCGCTCACGAATCGTAAAATTACTGATTTTGACGCACTGAAAGCAATACTGACAGATTTTATGTGTCAAACTCATACTTCACGACCTGTTCTCGTAACTTAGGAGTACTAGTGGAAACGTTCCTATAGTTGCGGTACGTTAGAAGCGTTAGGTTCCTATAGTTGTGTACGGAGTCTCCATACACAACTATAGGAACCTAACGCTTCTAACGTACCGCAACAATAGGAGCGTTTACTCTAATTATCATTATAGGGCAAACGCTCCTATAGTTGCGGTACGTTAGAAGCGTTAGGTTCCCATAGTGGTGTATTGAGTCTCGATGCACAACTATAGGAACCTAACGCTTCTAACGTACCGCAACTATAGGAGCGCTTCCCCTAACATCTAATGATTTCAAAATTAAAAAAAAAATATATAGTAAGTACGTGGAAGTAACGCTGGGTGTCACTAAATCTTAGTTGCTAGTGTAGCCGTGTACAATCGATTATTTTTTATTTTCATCCACGAAATCATCTGTCAAAGTGTTTCACTAGAATCAATGTCCTGTTAGAGGCGGAACTTAGGAAGAATCTTTTGTGTCGAGCTAGCATAGGGACAATCATACACTCACGCGAGCACCACAGAATCAAAATAGCCATCCTCACCTACAAACATGTTGCCGAACGAGTGAAAATTCTTTCAACCAAGTGACTCTGCAGGTCGACTCAGAACTGACAGCAGTAGAAGAAAAGAAGGATAAACCGAAAGGCAGCCGAACAATTTTCTCTACCAAGGGAGAACCATATCGAATGCGTAAAATCTGAATGCTAAATCGTTAGCCGAGTCAGATAGTTTTTGGCTTAGTGATTTGAATCAGTTGAATTGGCCACAACAGTTTTACGATATTTACGTGACGCTTATGTTTATGTGTTACAGTATAACAGTTTTCTCCATGTTAATAGCAATTTAAACGTGTCAATGTATGTTTAAAGCTAGAAAATGAAAAATGATTATTTCTGCAAAATTCTCATTCAGATCACTCAGCAGAATGCAATCGTAAAAGGCTCAGCATAGAAAAAAAAAGTGAGGAATCATTCACACTACTACACTCTGAATCATTCATGTTACGCTCAGCTGTATGTTTTTCTCAATGGACGAGTGCACCGATGAATTTGAGTTCACTCACTCGAGTAAGAGGGACACAAGCTGCGGGCAATGTTTACTAATCATGAACACTAAATGTTTATTATTCATTATTCATGAACATTTAGTGTTCATGATGAGTAAACATTGCCCGCAGCTTGTGTCACTTTTTCTCGAGTGAGTTAACTCAAATCCATCGGTGCACTCGTCCATTCTGCGTTCATCGAAGGAAATCTGTTGTATTGGTGCTATATGTGACAACGTGTTAGTGAAAATCAGAGGAAAATACATAACAAATCGCTGTCAAACTCATTTTGACAGATCTAATTTCATACACTTTTTAGGTTAACCAGAGGAAAATAATAAATAACTTTACACTGAGATGCACTCGCTAGTGTGCGTACGTTAAACGTCACTACCCTAATAAACAAATACCATAAATACCAAATGGTTTGGATGATATCCCGAATAGGTTGTTAAGCTCTCTTTTATGGTTATTTTTATTAGGGTAATCTCTATAGGGAGCTGCACCGTCGGGGTAACTTCAATTTTTTGACATCTGGTAGTGGTTTGTTTACATGGACTTAGAAAAAAAGTTTAAAAAATTTATTAATTTTTTTTTTTAGATTTTTGGAGAGGAATATTTTTCAAACGAACATAGTCGGATATCAAATCTTTTAATTCTTTTTATTTGAAACCTCAAATCCACTTGAATTGACTAACAAGCAAAGGTAAACAAACCACCACTGGATGTCAAACTGATAAATTTGGGTTCATCGCGTTCATTCGTGACGTCAGCGTGCAGCATCCTATAGATGCAAAGCGAATACCAACGAAATCAGTACTGCTGTTCATTTCTGATGGAGTTGATGCTGTTGATGAATGCGAGTGAGTATTTAGTAAATGCAAAATTAAACGATTTTTTCCATGCTTGGTGTCGAGTACGCTTAAAAGGAGGAGCCTAGAAAATGAATCTGAATGCATAAATAAGGTCGCAGCTCTGTAACGTGGGTTGAAAGCATGGTCCTACGTCAAGTTTCCGTTCGTGCTCCTAGGCACAGACCTTTCAACTTTTTTTATGTTCATAAGTTGGTGGTTGTACTACCGAGCATGCTTGAGTTGTTCGTTGATCTCTAACATTTTAAATTAAATTTATTGTTTTTTTAGTTATATACTTCTTTGTAAGAAGGGTAAAACGATTTGTTCATCTACGCATGGTGTCCACACACCAAATTTCTTAAATCTTGTTCGGTACTTTTTTGCTGGATTCGTTCGGTAAAATGTAATTTTTACCGAATGCTTTGTAAAACATATTATTTTACAAATTTTCCGCAATCTGAACTGCTGAATTTCCGTAATTTACATACATTTACCGAAAATTGTAAATAAAATTTGCGGATCGAAACTGTAAAAGGCTGCGATTTCGCAATTCTGTAAAAATTGTGACGAGTATACTGTAAAAATAGTCTTTTACAAAATCAAACAGCTATAAAGTACCAAATTCTGTAAAAGCTACTGAACAGATTTTCGTACTGTCAAACTCAATATCGGCTGCCATTTCGATGTTGAGTGTCCTTCGGTTCTAAGTTGTGAAGCGTAAGTACTTTACTTTTCGCTTGATTCTGTGCAATTTATGCCGAAAATAAAATTAGTTTTTCATTTCTGGGTCAATTTCTTTCAGACGCCATGGACGTTATGCAACTCAATGTCCTCCTCTACCGCAGAAACTGCATTTTAGAACGGTTGATAACCTCGTCCGGGATCTTTACTGATTTTTTTTATAATTTTCTGTACAAACGCAAGATGAAAATTTTATGCATCTTCCAAAAAAATATATGGTTATAAGGAATGAATCTTTTGGTTTGGTGAAAGAAAGAAACAGTTAATCAATCAATAAAAATTACAATGTTTATTATTTATTCTGAAAATAAAGTACAGACGATTCGGTAAAAAATATACTGAACGCTATGGTAAACTTAACCGATCTTTCAGTAAAATTTACAGTCCAGGTCAGCAAATTTTGACAGGCCACAAGCGAAGAAAATTTACAGAACGGATTGTAAATTAAAAAATTACCGAAAGGATTACCGAATGTTCAGCTGTTCCATATTCGGTAAAAAATTACAGTATACTGTAAAAAAATCTTAGTGTGCAGGTCTTAACGCCAGTAAATAAAATCAAAATTATGTAAATGTTTCATATATGTACGTTAGACTGATCCAAAATTTGAAATTTTCGCTCCACAGTGCTCAAACGGTTCCAAATAGCATTCTGATTAGCCTCCCAAAATTTGAACTCATTTAGTGAGAAACTGACTTGGCACAAACCATTTGAAGTTTATATGGGAATTGATATAGAAAAACTTTAATTTTGGTTCATATCTATCTCAAAATTCACCAGTTCACTCTACTTTAAAAAATTGTAGCTGAGTTTGTTGGAAATTTTCTCAGCTACAACTTTGTTGAAGGCTACTTTTCGATCAAATGTAAGGAATAAAAATTATTAATGATTCAAGTCACTGATGTCTTATGATTATGCTCAATCAACTGTTCAGCAGGCAACATTGGTGTTTATGGCGCGTAGAATAGAGGACAAAAATCATGGCTACTATGTCACACTGCAGAATACAGTGTTGCCCACAATACAGTTGTTTAATCTTGCCATAAGATTATCAATCTCTTAAACAATTAATAACTATTTAATTTGACGTTTGGCTGAAAAATGATTTCCTGCAAAGTTGTAGCTGATAAAAATTCCCATAAGAATAGCAATAGAATTTGTTAACAGTACAATATGTTAAAAGGCTACTAGGCTAGAAGACAATTAACAAAAAGTTTTGTTTTCCCATAGTAATTTCCATGTAAACTTCAAATGGTTTGTGCCAAGTCAGTTTCTTATCAAATGAGTATAAACTTTTGGAGGCTAATAAAGACCTGATTTGAAACTGTTTCAACACTGTGGAGCGAAAATTTCAAATTTTGCATCAGTCTAATGTACGTACTATTTTTTTTAGAATAATCTGTGATCTACGGTAAAATCTGTGTCCATGACGGATACCGTAACATATATGTATATTTGTATGTTTGAATGTTTGAAATATTTAAGAAACTTGCTTTAAAATCCAAATTCTGTTTTTGTTTTCAGGTGCAACTTCAAAGCATATTGTTTGTTTTCGTTTCTGAATACGATAGTTTATTGCATTCCTGCTGGCTGGGTTTGGGGCGAACATGGTTTTCTAGGAAAGCTAGGAGTAGTAGACATTGCTGGAAGTGGACCCGTACATCTCATTGGAGGGTCGTCAGCATTTGCCTCTGCTATGATGCTTGGACCACGACTTGGACGATACGCAAAAGGAACGGATCCTCTGCCACTGGGAAATCCCGTCAATGCCTGTATGGGATTGTTTGTTTTGTGGTGGGGGTGGTTGGCTTTCAATTCAGGTAGCACTTACGGAGTGAGTGGTGCTAAGTGGATTTACGCAGCTCGTGCAGCTGTAATGACTATGATGGGCTCTTTCGGTGGAGGGAGCTTCAGTATAATGTAAGTTTTAATTAATATTTGACACAGAAAATCATGTGACTATTTTTCCCCTTTAGATATTCCATGGTTCGAAACGAAGGAAGAATGGACATCGTTGATCTCATCAATGGCATTTTGGCGTCCCTTGTTTCGGTAACTGCTGGTTGTTTTCTTTATCATGCATGGGAGGCAATCATCATAGGAGGAATTGGATCCGCTCTTTGCTGCTTAAGTATGCCGTTATTCGATAAAATGGGTGTTGATGATCCAGTTGGGGCAAGTGCTGTGCATGGAGTTGCTGGAATTTGGGGTTTGTTGAAATCTATAATGCATGCTAGATTGACCATCCGTTCTGTATTGAACGGGAGAGTAAAGTTTTTCGATTTTTTTGGGACTTCCCGTTGTTTTTCAACAAATATTTGTATCGTTTTTCTGGGATATTTACTGCCGATCTACGCATATCTGTCCCATGTTACTTTTGGACGTTTATATAATTTGTTCTAGGTTTGTATAAAAACAACATGTCCCATGTTAAAATTCTACGCATAACTATCCCACAAAGATTTTCTTGACTGAATCTATCATTAGTGAATCGGTTTGTGTACATTATGTGTGATTATTGAAACAGGATAAATATTATAAAAAGAAACGGTATGCACCATTATAGGAAGTGGAAGTTTTAGTTTATGTTGATAAATATTAAGAAAAACAGGATTTAATATTAAAACACCAGTTTCTAATTTCAAACAATGCATTATTAGACACTTACACTCGCCACCCCCCACACTCTCTCTATAGTGTCTACGTGTTTCATGAAAAGCCACTTATATAATATAATAATACGTAGTATAAAGGCCAACTCCGTACGGCAGAAATTTGCATGTGCATGTCAACTCTTCCAAAGTATTTATTGAAATAATCGAAGCCCACGGTCAACGATCGTGTGGCGTATTGATCTTTTGTCCACAGCATGTCAGCCGCCATAAATCTATGGTCGGACTCAAAATTATTAAGCACAATCTCCTTTAGGCCTACTTTTATCTTGCTACAAACAAACAAACAAACAAATAAGATGCTAAGAAGTTTATATTCTATGTAAATAGTGCATTCATAATTAGTTTCTTGAGATGCCCATACTTTAAGTGGTTTTATAGAAATAGCAATGTCAACAAATTTATTGTTGGTATAATTTAATGATAGAAAGCTATACAAACCTTCCAGGATCTTCCAAAACTTCGCGGAGAACGCAAGCAGAAGAGTAAAGACGTCAAATGCAACGTGGCCATCAAGCAGCTCTGAAAGTAAAGGCTGGCGCACAATGTATAAGTTTCCGGGTTTTTTATTGACAGATAATGGGCTAACTGTCAAAAAACCCGACAACTTATCCATTGTGCGCCGGACTTAACAGTTCCTAGTGGGACTAACATGCTCCTACTAACATTTCATTGAAGGTAATTTCTGTAGTTTTCACTAAAACACATTGATTCTGCTTAAAGGTGAACAATGCGCTAACTTATTTTAACGTATATTTCTTCCAACGAGCAGAAATGATTCGAAACATTATTCGCGATTTTTTCAGAAGCAACTTTTGAAATATGGGACTGATATGCGTAGAACGGCAGTTTAAACAATCGAAAATACATACATTAAACACGTCATTGTTCAAAAACCGATATGACCTTTCAAGAAAATTGTTTGCGGATGAGGATAAATGCGAATAACAAGAATTTATTAATCTATTTTTTTTTCAAAAATAAGATGTTAAAATATAAGTAAAAATTTACACAGCATATACTTTGCAAATGTTTAATTAGTGCATTAATATATTACTCATTCTATATTGAAAAATACAACCTAAAACTTAATTGTATCTTAGCCAGGGATGGAAAATCATTTACATTCATTTCGTGCATTCATTTACATTCATTTTCCTCTAACTTTTTTCATCAACAAAATTCCGTAAAATAGTGTTTGAAGCTTTTGTAGGCTTTTATGTTAGCTACATCTTTTGTAAAAAACTCCAATCTGTATCTCTTATGCATGATGAATCAGAGTGATTAGAACCCACCATTGTTTTTCAGTGAATGTAAATTGCATTCACTGAAAAACAATAACATGTTCTGCCAGCTCTATTTCATCATGCATAAGAGATGCATATTTTAGTTATTAACAAAAGTTGTAGTTAATATCAAAATCTACAAAAGCTTCATACATCATTTAACGGTATTCTGTTGATGAAAAAAGTTAGAGGCAAATGAATGTAAATGAATGCACGAAATGAATGTAAATGATTTTCCATCCCTGATCTTAGCTTTGCGCAGTGGCGATATCGTAACCAATGAAGTACAACCGAGGTGGGATTATTGCAAGTTGAAAAAAAAATTAATTGTATCTTGAAAACATTTAATAATATATATTTTTTTACTTAGTTTTTACATAATTTACAAACAACGATTTAAATTTACATGAACATCCCAAGTAATCAATAAGTCCGCTAATTGATGAATCTACGCGAAACTGCACCAGTGCATGCGACACCTAGGTTTGAAATCCAAAACCAGAAAAGTGATGATGTACTAAAAAATATTCCATACAATTTGACAGGTAGCAAAACGTCATTATCAATTAACATCATTTCCATCTGCTGGACGACCGTAGCGTAGATTCATCAATTGCCCATTGATGAATCTACGCGAGACTGCACCAGTGCATGCGACACCTAGGTTTGAAATCCAAAACCACAAAAGTGATGATGTACTAAAAAATATTCCATACGATTTGACAGGTAGCAAAACGTCATTATCATTTTAACATCATTTCCGTCTGCCGGACGACCGTAACGTAGATTCATCAATATGAAAACATAAGGATATGCGACTAAAGGGAGATTGGTGTGCAATTAGTGGGCTTGTTGATTACTTGAAATGCGTATAATTTCAGATTTCGAAAAGTGTACTTATTTGAAAAATGAAATTTCAAAATATTTTCGTCGGTGTTGATATTTCTAAGTGTTAAAAGATGCGGGGGGGGGGGTAGGTTTATAATATACCCCATCCTCCTCACTCATATCAATAGTTTCAGTTTGAAATAACTTCGGAGTTTCTTATTTTATCGATTTGGTATGTTCAGGCTGAACTATTCAAAAACATTTGCTCAATCTCATAAGCGTTGTTCCCAAGTAATACATAAAACATCTTTTTGAAACATATTTAGAACGGCTTGTTATATAAATGTATTATAAGTGATGCAGAAAACATCCCACGTTATATATGAGGTTTATAGATGTTTTTTTCATACTTCCTAGATTCAACATTTTCCAAAATAGTTTTCTTTTGCTTTTATCTTTAAATGTTATTTAAACGTGCATCTTACTGTTTTAATACCACTATAAAACTTGTCGTATACAAAATCAATCTTAGTTGAATTTATAAAGTTCTTGAAGAGATTCTGAACTTTCCAGATTGACGTAAACATTGACGGCGCCATTGAGCCGGACTGTCTCTTCACGCAGTGATTGACAGTTTCTTATGAGGTATTCGAAGGTTTGTTATAAAGAAAGTTGAAAACACTTGTTTATTACATCTCATAAATTAATATATCTGAAAATGTGCAGGTTGTCTTATAAGGAGTTGAAAATACTTTAAAATAACACTCTGGCAATTAGATGTACGCTTTGCTGCTAACAAAACATCTTTATGACGGATTGAAAGCGTGTTGAACGAGAATATTATTTTCATGCCATTGGCAAGAACATGATAGATACTTGTAACAAACCTCTCATCAAGCGGAGTTGGTCTAGTTAGGAAGTAGTAAGTCTACCACGCCAAGGACCAGTGATCGAATCCCATGCTCAAGTTCTTTTTTGATGTTTTTTTTTGCCGCCGGTTTTTATGATGTTTCCAAAACATGTTATAAGACCAGTATTTAGTTGTATAAGCTCCGCGACTTGCGCTTTTTAGGTTATATAAATGTATTTAATGACGTATATTACAGTATTATTAATTCCTTACGTAAGTCATTAAAATTTATTTTCAACTTCTTTATGACAAGCCGTGTTGCTTGGGTTTGCTGCTAACAAAACATCTTTATGACGGATTGAAAGCGTGTTGAACGAGAATATAATTTTCATGCCATTGGCAAGAACATGATAGATACTTATAACAAACTTCTCATCAAGCGGAGTTGGTCTAGTTAGGAAGTAGTAAGTCTACCACGCCAAGGACCAGTGATCGAATCCCATGCTCAAGTTCTTTTTTGATGTTTTTTTTTGCCGCCGGTTTTTATGATGTTTCCAAAACATGTTATAAGACCAGTATTTAGTTGTATAAGCTCCGCGACTTGCGCTTTTTAGGTTATATAAATGTATTTAATGACGTATATTACAGTATTATTAATTCTTTACGTAAGTCATTAAAATGTATTTTCAACTTCTTTATGACAAGCCGTGTTGCTTGGGTAGGTCTCAGACACAGGCACAGTCGGATTTCGCTTGTTGGGCTAACTTTAAGTGGGCTAAGTTCAGTTGGGCTTCCAAGCCAAACGTCACTTCTAACAGTGCTGATTCCTTTTCGAAATTTCGACCGGCTTCATGCAAAAACCGGCAAACGAGTGGAGTAATGATACAGATTATTTCAATGCGATACAACGAGTTGCTTCCTTGATGGTTGTCAACGATATGGCTGAAGGAGGGGGGATGCTAATTTCTGACGTATCAAGAAATCCACCCGAGACCTAGTTCAACAGCAATATTTGCTTCAAGGGATAGAACAGCATCGAAAAGAGTACCATGAGAAATCGTAGAATATATTAAAATGAAATTTAATCTTTACAATCCAATGACATTTGTGTGAATATATCTGACATTGTATATTGCACCAAAAGAGTAGGGAAGAGAATGGTAGTACTCGCTTTACAACTGCTCTTATGAGATTAAGCAAATGTTTTTGAATAACCCATCCGACCAACTCGAGAGATGGGAAACTCCGAAGTTATTTTAGTCTTTATCTTTACTTTCATTGATGTAAGTGAGCGCCGGAAAGCATACAGTAGGCCTCCCCATATCCAACTATGCCTATTAAATGGAGCACATACCAACTCGACAAGATCAGAAACACTGAAGTTATTACAGGCTTCAATTACCTCCATTTATATGAGTGAGGGGGTGGAGGTATTGTTAGCCCCCCCCCCCTTTCATCTCTTAATATGCCTATTAAATTGATAAATTGTTTTTGAATCATTCATCTGAACAAACCGAATCGATAAGATAAGAAACTCCGAAGTTATTTCAGTTTGAAACTCTACTTCTATTGATATGAGTGACCCCCCATCCTCCTCCGACTGCGCATATGAGATAGATCTATTGTTTTTGAATATTTCATCTGAACATACCAAAACGATAAAATAATTAACTTTGTATTTGGAGTCAGACACCGGCAGTACACCGGCAGTGTTGGCAGAAAAAGAGATTTTTGGCTCATGGCCACCACGTAGGAAATACATGCACTTATCGTAGAAGCTGATATTTGTGCACTTAAAGTTTCGAAGTGGTTACGAGAATAAGGACCTCACAGCAAAACACCTAACTAGCATAAACCTCCATTATTCAAAATTTAATATTATTCATTCAACGTATAAAATAACAGAAACAGAACAGAACAGAGACGAGTTGTGTTTGTTCACATCGACCGATACTGAGTGGCTGCGGTACAAGCACATATCGTCGGTAATAGACGATTGTTGTGTATTGAGAACGCTTGCGCTTACCGTTGGGAATTGTGGGTTCGAATCCCACCGGTGCCCTTAGATTTTTTCGCAAATTTTCTCACACGCACGTCTCTTGCCGATGATATGTGCAACCTCTCAGTATCTTCTAACTGTCGCATATAACAAAATAAAAATTGACTTTCAGTCGCTAACCTAAATCGTATAAAATAAAGTATTAAGAATGTTCCTGATCTTATGGATTTTGCGTCGAATTAGATTTATAAATAGTATCAGAAATTCCATATTAATATATCCATATTAAAGTTTTGAATAATGAACGCTCATCGCAGTTTATGAGCAAATACTAAAAACTTAATATTTAAAAAAAAAATTGTAGCTCAGAAAGGAAAAAAGGAAAAACATACACTGCTGAATTTTTGATATATTCTGTAAAAAGTTCAAAATCTCCAAGAATAAAATATGAAATGCAATAGTGCCTTTGCTTCCGAGACCTCGACAATCATGAAAATCGATTAAAATTCTTGTTTTTCAATGTTAAACCACGATTAAAGTTCATATTCATATTTTTTCTAACAACTTGATCTTTCATTTGATCATTTCATAGTTATGATAAAAAAAAAACAATTTGAAAATATGTACTGTTTTTCCGGACCAACCTTATATGGAAAGGACCAAATCGAAAAATAATAAAAATATGGATCTGTGAACCGAATTACCAATTATTACGAAATTTTGAGATCCACCCTAATTGTTTCTGTGGAATTGCTGTTATTTTATTTATATTATTGTATTTCATTTAAAATCCCAACAGTAATGTTAAAAAAAAATGAACATGTTCGGTTTTTTGTCATGTGTCCCGTTTTTATTCCAAACCTATGTGTACGGTCACAGCTTAGTAAAAGCATATATAATATTATATAGCATATAATGTTTAATCACTAACTTAATTTTTTAGGTGTATTGGCAGTAGGTTTGTTTGCGGATAATCCTATTCCATTGGGTACAACTAATGGGCGATCTGGATTGTTCAAAGGAGGTGGCTGGTATTTGCTTGGTGTCCAATCATTATCAGCTTTATGTTTGACTTGTTGGGGTATATGTATCACTTTTGCTCTATTGTGGATAATCAACAAAATTGTACCGATAAGGATGGACCCCAACGAGGAACTTCTTGGTGCTGACCTTATGGAACATCGTATAAGACACTCTCAGGTACGTATTGCGCATTACATATACGCTAAAAGCAGATAACCCAGTTTGGACGTAAACGGGACTAACTCAAAATATGGGTACATTTTTAATTCAAATGTATTTAAATCAAATTTGCCAAAGTCGAATTTATATAATAATATATTTATTTATATATTAACCCATATTTGTGTTAATGAAATTACCTATATTTCTGTTAACAAAATTACCCATATTCTGAGTTTATCCGGTATACGGTAACTTGGGTAAATTGATCCTAGTGTGTACACTAGAGTGGCTCACAACTATACACCGTGTCATTTGGAGAAAACGCGTAAACATATATATTTTGGAATCACATACCAATCAAAATGCCCTATATGGCAAAATTTAGTAATGACATGGCTATAATTTATGTCTGTATGCGTCGACGCATACAGGCATAAATGATGCGGTATATTTCAGCAACAAGATAGGCCGGGTTATTGCACTACTTAGGTACGAATGTTTTTTTTTTTTATTTAGGACGTGATACAGCAAACAACCAATGATGTTACTAGTCCAGGACTGGATCTTAATAAACTGTTGGTTCACTTTTCCTTCAGTTGCAATTATATTAACACACTAATGTAACCCTATCATCACTCTCAACTATCGTATGGGCGTGATATATTGAAACGATGATCGGAAAGGAGGCGAAGAGAGTTTAATATATACCTACTTTACCAGTTATCATGCTCTGATAGTTGCACTCTTTTCTGGTGTTATTGCTCACTACCCGTAGTAGGGGAGAACGGTACATAACGCACCCCCGGGGTAGGACGCACTTTTTCATTTTATTTTGAGATTTTCTTGGAATATTGAATCCAATTCTAGGATTTATCATGAAGGATTTGGATTTCCGATGCTATGCTAGAAGTGCTGTTTGATAAAGCCATGAAACACACAAATGAAAGTCAGCTGGTGCGTTCTACCTAGGGGGTACTATTGTCCCCTACATGAATCTGATGAAAAAATATTGTTTCCTAAAACATGTTTTTCAGATCACTTGCTCTGACTTCCTACACACATAGGGAGGTGCTGACGAGGTGAACCCCTTATTGCACTCTATGGCATAATGTTTTTCGGGTCCGGTGGGTTGTGGCTATGTCCTAAGTAAGTCTTTCTAGATTTCTCCTTGTGGCAATCGAAGGCGTCGGTAATATAAAATGCTAGTTGTAGTCGGGGTATATCAGTATGTCATCGGATGTCAAAATTATCTCCATTTTCTCAAAGCAATCTTTCGCTAATTCCGGAAGTGAAAAATTCTTATTTGATGCAGGGTTTCTCTCCCCTCGTAGAAGGTTTGTAAGGGGTTTCGCAATTTTGGCAATTTCCTTTACAAAACGTCTATAATATCCTACCATACCTAAAAATCCACGTAGTTCGTTGAAGTTCTTTGGTTCCGGATAATTTTGAATTACATCGATTTAACCCAGAAATTCTACTTCCGAATACATACATTCGGATTTGTCCAATTGTACTTTTAGTTCGTCTCATTTAGAAGCTTTAAATTGTATCTAAGTTTCGTAAATGTTCTTCTAAATCTTTTCCAAAATTATCACGTCGTCTATGTAGACGTAACAAATTTTGCCAATCTGATCGCAAAGTACGTCGTCGATCGCTCTTTAAAAAATTACCGGGGCATTCTTTAAGCCGAACGGCATTCGAGTGAATTCAAATTTTCCGTTATTAATGGAGAAAACGGTTTTTTTCAATGTCGTTTTCTTTCATTTTGATCGGGTTTATAAGAGGATACAAACATTTTATATATATGTTACATTTGGCTAAGCGGCGCCGGTGGTGTAGTGGTAAGCTTGATTGCCTCTCACCCCAAATGGGCTGAGTTCAATCCCAGTTGGTGCCGCCGGGATTTTCTGAAGGAACAAAATATCTGATTACGTCTTCCTTCGGAAGGCAAGTAAAGCCGTTGGTCCCCGGTTCATGAGTTGATGCGTCGATAGGTAGGGTCCAGGTATGGGAGCTGCCTCCCTGGTGTCGGTAGCATTGGTGCTCAGTATGGAAATCAAAATCGATGGAAAACAAACCAAAGAAAAAAAAAATACATTTGGCTTGAATGCCCTCAATGTGATCTTTAAGAGTTAATTTTTGGTCTAGTACTAATCCAAGATATTTCACTTGGGTTGACCAGGAAATTTGAGCTTCGTTCATAGTGACTATGTGACTACTACTAGGTTTAAAAAAGGAAGCTCTAGGCTTATGTGGAAATATAATAAGTTGAGTTTTTTATGCATTGGGAGAAATCTTCATTTTTGTAAATAAGAAGAGAAAATATCTAACTTTTATGCAGTCTGTTGCAAATAACACGAAGACTTCTTCCTTTAGCAGAAACGTCTGTCGGCGAATTAAGATTTGTGGCAACCCTGAGGCAAATCAGGGAGGTTCAAAGTGAAAATGTTATAAAATATAGGCCCTAGAATGCTAACCGGAGGTAGTCCTGCTATATCAGGTAGTTGATAAGATTTGGAATTTTGATAATTTACCTGCAGAGTTCTGTGAATTAAATAATGTTGAACTAATTTCATGATGTAGAGTGGAAAATTAAACTTATTCAATTTTGCAATCAAACCTTCATGCCAAACACTGTCGAATGCTTTTTCTATGTCTAGAAAAGCAGCCTTCAGATTTCTTTGAACGAATTAAATTGGTAACTCTTAAGAGTTGATGAGTAGTTGAATGCCCATGGCAAACTCCAAACTTCTCATCTTCAAAAATTGAGTTCGTATTGATGTGAAGCATCGTTTTATTTAAAACTACATTTAAAATAGTTTACTTATTGAAGAAAGCAAACTTATTCGACGGTAGCTAGAAGCTTCAGCTTTATTGTTATGCAGCTTCAAAATTGGAACAAATTTTGCATTTTTTCCATTTATCGGGAAAGTATAGTATGCCAAATGGAAACATCTGTTACATAATTTTACCAAGGCAGACAAGGTACTCTGTGAGAGTTTTTTTGATGAGGATATAGGAAATTTCACCTGAAGCTTTCATATTGTGAAACTTTTTAGTTATAGATCTTACTTCGTCCAAATCAGTCCCCCAGGAATCATCAAACATATTTTCCTGGGAGAAAATATTCAGATAATCCTGAGCAACCTGATTCTCAATAGGACTAGTAAGACCCAAACTGATATTATGGGAACTACTCTGATCAAAATTTTACCACCTTTTTAGCGCAGGAATAGGCTTTTGAGGTTTTTTTTTTCAAAAAAAAAAAATTTGAGGTCATAAAAGGGTTTGGAATTTAGGTCTAATTTTTAAACAATATTTTCAAAAGTTTTGTTCCTGAGGGCAGAGAATCGCTTTTTAATTTGTTTTTTGCCAATTCCACCAGATATTTTTTATGGCATGATCGCGTGTTCTTTGATATTGGCTTTTACGGACATTTTTAAGGCGGACCAAGAGCTGAAGGTTATCGTTTATTATAATTGAATCGAATTTAATCTCGCATTTTGGTACTGAGGCAGCTCTTGCTTCAAATATAGAAGTAGTCAGAGATTCAAGAGCATAGTTAATTTCATCTTTGGTTTGGAAAGGAATGTTTGGATCAGCAAAAAGCAAATAGATCTGCACGGGAAGATTGAAGTTGATTTTATTGTTTGCAGCGTCGCCTCAGTCCGCATCGGGCTCTCTTGCCGTGCGGATCTATTTGCTTTATGCTGAAGGAAGTGTTACTACTACCTAAAGCTACAACAAATTTAAACAGCACTTTTCAGTGCTCAATATACCTGTACATTTTTTACCTTGTTTGACTCTTATTCCTCTTTGATCCTTGTTTGGACCCAGCCCGAGGTAATCCTTCTTGGATATCGATTTGGAAAATTCCTCTTCGATCATTAAGATTCTTATAGTAATCTGCTAGTCGATTTGGATAAAAAAATTACTGCCGCCATGGTGCCTAAGCGCAAAAGAAAAGGGCAAGCTCTTGATCCCACTTCTGATGAAATTAATTTGTCCAATCAATTTGATTTGCTCACGGATGATGAGAATGATCATATGACAGGAAACATTCTAGTTAACTTTCCCGGCTTAATGCCAAGAAGGAAAAGATTCCCCTTATTGTGATAACCACTTCCGATTTCCTTGCTCTTCGCACAGAACTTTTGAACTTCGTGAAATTTAAATTTTCACTGCAAATTGGCCGTCGGGGTGAATGCCGTGTATTGACTGAAACCTTGGACGGATTCAAATGTCTTCTCAAGTTTCTTACTGAGAAGCAGCATCAATTATTTACTTAAGACACAAAAACTGAACGTGTGTTCAAGGTTGTCATGGAAGGACTGCCCAGTGGTGATCAGATCAAAGATGAACTGGCAACATTACTTAGAGTTGTGTCCATCCAAGTAATCCAAATGATTTGCAATTCGTGCCACGGGATTTCTAATGATTTTTATTTAGTACATTTCAAGTCTAAAAAACTAAACAACCTTAAGGCCTTAGAAAAAGCTAACCTTATGCTCCATGTCCGAGTGTAGTGGGAACACTTCAAGAAGACTGGTAGAAATTTCCAAAACCTCACCCAGTGCCGTAAGCGCCAGGGATAGGGTCACGCAACAAAAAATTGCTACATGCCAGCTAAATGCATGAATTGTGGTGATTCCTCTCACGCAAAGGACGACTGTCATGTGAAGGAAGATCCTAAGAAATTTAATTGTGAAAACCACAAATCAAATTTTTCCCTCCCCTTGGCTAGTTTTTGCACCTTGCTGTTGGTGGGCGGGCTTAATTTATTTATAGTGGAGTGTTGGAGACGGTAGGTTTATGGCCGGCGTTGCTGGCTAATGCCACGATGGAATGGGTCCATGGACAGGCAATGGGGATTACTAAGCTTCCCCTCTCTGATGAACCACTGCATGAGAAAACCAAAGATCTAGTCTAAAAGTAATAGTATCACACTTGTTACTCCTTTGTTTGAGAGTCGCGTTGTAGTACGCTCACGTATAGGCACTGACGTTGGGTGTGATACTGGCGGGTTTTGCCGCAAATCACTCTTTTTTTATTTA